GCCTTTGTACAAAATATCTTTTTTTTTTCTCTTCCTTGTAACATTACTTTGTGTGTACATAAATTGTTAAATAAATAAATAACCTTTACATTTTCCGAACAAATTAACTTCCCCGCTATATAAATTTGTCAAAAATATTGTTACGAGCTTGAGGTTCGAGACAATTAAAAACTGCCGATTGAATTACCAAAATTGACACTTTAATTACACAACACTAATTACAATCTAAAATCACACTAATAATAAAACACAGTTCGCCTTTATTTCGCTTCGAAGTATTCTCTTGCATCGCCAATTCAATACTGCCCCGGTCGTTTTTTTTTTTTTAGCGCCCGAAGCAATTGGAAATGGGCTACCCCGGAGGGAGGCAGAAACTGCATTACGCATACCACGATGGCCGGTCCATCGTGGTTATGAGGGACTCACTACCTACAAGGGGAACCTAAGTGATACCCTCTAAAAACTGCCTTTGGGGACTGGCAACTAGCTGTTGAAAGCTTCATATGCCGTATCTCAAGCGACCCTCTTTTGGGAAAAGAGGGCGCAGGCCCCGGTCGTGGTCTATACCGGCCTCATATAGGGCCTCAGCTAGTTTCCAGAACCTTCTACTGTAGCGACATCTAGAATGTACGAGTACATATCGGTCCCGAAATTTCTGGAAGGATCTCGACACTCCTAGTTCTGCTACTCGACACTAGAGGGCGCTAGTGTAACTAGTGTTGCCATGTACAAGACATTAATAGTGGCGCGCAGCACTTTCTTTTACTCGACACTAGAGGGCGCTAGTGTAACTAGTGTTGCCATGTACAAGACATTAATAGTGGCGCGCAACACTGCCCCCTCCTAAGACATGCTCGTCCCGAGCATTATTGGCCCCATAATAACGCGCCAGTCGATCCACATGGACAATCTTAGGAGTACCGCACCTTTCTGTATCCGGTAGGTTACGTCATTGATCCTTGTCACAATCCGGTACGGTCCGTCCCATTTAGCTTGAAGCTTAGGAGATTTCCCTTTGCTGCGTACTGGATTGTGTAACCACACTAGTGAACCTTCATCAAAACCCTTGTTGTTCATTTTGCGGTCATACCGTGTTTTCATCTTCTCAGACGTTTGATGGCCCGTCTGTCTGACGTGCTCATAAATGTCATTCAGTTTGTTCCGCAATTCATTTGCATAATCGGTTATACTGTGTGACGCATCAGGTGGTATTCCGGTGATCAGGTCTGCAGGCAGCCGTAATTCTCTCCCAAAGTTTGCGAAAGCTGGCGTCACTGATGTACTTTCGTGAACAGCGCTTCGATATGACAACAAAAACAGTTGTATGTGCCTGTCTGAGTCTCGTTGCCGTTTTTCCACAACTTTTGCCAGGTACCTTTCCAATGTCTGATTAAATCGTTCTACCATTCCATCAGATTGTGGGTGGTAAGAAGTTGTTCGTGTTTTATGAGTACCCATAACTCTGCAAGTTTCCTGGAATATTTGAGACTCGAAATTCCTTCCTTGATCGCTATGAATCTCTAAGGGTACTCCAAAACGACAGAAGAGTTCATGAACTAGTTTATCTGCAACTGTTGAAGCTTCTTGATTTGGAATGGCGAAGACTTCTGGCCACTTAGTGAAGTAATCCATCACAACCATGAAATACTTGTTACCACTTTCACTTTCCGGAAACGGCCCCGCAACGTCAATGGCTATCCTCTCCCATGGTGCACCAACATTGTACAATTTCAATGCGCCTCTACTACGAATTTGAGGTCCCTTTACAGCCGCACAATTTGTACATTTGCGGCACCAGTCCTCGACATCGTCACGACAGTGGACCCAGTAAAACCGTTCTCGGATCTTCAGTAGAGTTCGTTTAACTCCCAGGTCGCCTCCTGAACAACCACTATGGTATAGCTGTAGAACATCCGGTACTTTAGCCTTAGGGACAACCATTTGCAAATGACAACTGTCTCCCCGGCCATTTTCCCATTTACGGCACAGGACTTCATCCTGAATCAACAAGCTGTCCCATTGGGCCCAATAGCTTTTCGTGGTCGAACTCATTGCTGAGACGTCGCTCCACTTGGGCTTAGGAGCACTGGCCTTCATCCATTCCAGAATCGGCTTAATGTCCGAATCTTCCTGCTGTGCATGCTGTAGGCTGTCCTTCCACTCATTGCTGAGCTGGTCTGTCCTGAGCATTCTCACAGATACCACTTCCTTACCCTCTTTCCTAGTACAATGCTTGCAATCTTCAGGGCAAGGTCTTCTTGACAATGCATCTGCATTGCCATAAGATTTCCCGCTGCGATGTTCGATCACAAAGTCGTATTCCTGCAGTAGTTCAATCCATCTCGCAACTCGTCCTTCCGGATTTTTGAACTACAATAGCCATTTCAGTGCAGCATGGTCAGTTCGTAAGTGAAATTTCCGCCCTAGAAGATATTTCCTAAAATTCTGCAAGGACTTTACCACAGCAAGCAATTCCAGTCTTGTGACACAATAGTTCCTTTCCGGCTTTGACAACGACTTGCTGAAGTACGCTATCACAATCTCTTGATCACCATTCCGTTGAGACAACACACCGCCAAGTCCTACATCACTTGCGTCTGTGTCAACTATGAATTCCTTGCCCGCATCAAGGTACCCCAAAATAGGTGTTTTGCACAGACGGTTCTTGAGCTCCTGGAATGCAAAATCGCAACTTTCATCCCAGCAGAAATGTCGCTTCTCCTCGGTTAGCTTGTGCAGAGGTTTGGCTATATCTGCAAAGTTCTTCACAAATCGCCGATAATAAGAGCACAAACCCAAAAATGCTCTAACCTGTGTCTTGTCTTTTGGGACCGGCCACTCCTTGACAGCAGCAATTTTCTCTGGATCCGTGCGGATACCTTCTTCCGACACTACATACCCCAAAAAACTAACTTGCCGTTTGAATAGTGAGCACTTCTTCGGACTCAACTTGAGGTTGGCACTCTGGATCTTCATGAGCACGCGTTCCAGGTTTTGAAGGTGTTCCTCAAACGTACGGCCTACGATGATGATGTCATCCAAATAGACCAGACAGGCATCTCCAATTAGCCCGGTAAGTACAAGCTCCATCAACCTTTCAAACGTTGCTGGAGCATTGCACAATCCAAACGGCATGACTTTAAATTGCCACAGACCCTTTCCTGTGGAGAATGCAGTTTTCTCCTTGTCCTTAGGGTCAATTTCAACCTGCCAGTAGCCACTTTTCAGGTCCAGCGTACTAAACCACTTTACGCCGGTAAGCATGTCCAGCTTGTCATCAATTCTTGGCAAGGGATAGCTGTCCTTCTTCGTAACGTCGTTCAGGCGGCGGTAGTCAACACAAAACCGCATGCTTCCATCCTTCTTCTTTACCAGCACCACAGGTGAACACCATGGACTAGATGAAGGTTCAATAACACCATCCTTCACTATTCCCTCAATCATGGTTTGCACTTCCTTTTCACGTGCTACAGGCAATCTCCTTCGCCGCTGACGAATAGGCAATTCTTCTCCTGTGTTTATTTTGTGTTGAACTAAGCCAGTCTTTCCTATGTCAGCTTCGTTTGACGAGAAAACATTGACGTACTTGAGTAACTACTTCTTCGCCTTGACCATTTCATTCGGGGAGAGAACGCTGCGACAGTTTTCTAAAAGTGTGGTCACTCTCGTTTGTCCATCCTTGCTGGGGGTTCCAGTCGATAGATATTCGCACCGACGCAACCAATCCACTTCCTCACTAGTACCAACCAATGTGCCTTTTTCTATAATCTGTTCCTGATCACAAAGGTTCAACCATGAAGCAAATATAAAGAGGAGACGGCATATTCAACTGTGCACTGTGATTGTAAGTAGGTCCTGACGTCATCATAGTGGGCGTGGCTTTAGTTAGTATACTGTCAGCACTCGTCCTGTGCGCTTATGTGTTGAAAATCGCAAATCGGTGTATTTTCGTAGTATTAAGAGGAAAAGGATGAAGTGTTGTATTTTATCGTGTAAAAACTACTCAGATAGACGCTCTGATGCTATGGATGGCATCACATTTCATTTGTAAGTAATTTTACACCTAATTTATTAAAATAGTTCTAGAAAAATCTTTCCGTCGGCTCTCAAATATAATTAAATATATTCGACACTAGATGGCGACACTTTGTGTCATGTGAACTAAAAATATAAAGTTATAAAGGTACGTAGAGCTCAGTATTAATAAAATAATCATACAAAGGTGCTGAAGTTTGTTTTGCATTCAGACATAAAGAAATTTTAATCGCGAAAATATTATTTTATAGTTTATAATCATTTTGTGGACAGGCCGTATTCTATCGTCAAGTAAATCTCATAAAAATAACAAAAAGACAGGGCCGTAATTAGAATTCAATTTTTTTTTCTACAGTAATCCAACTTTCAATATTAAAATGAAGGAAATTGTAATAAGGCTGATTTTTCGAAATGTTTAAGTTATATTTAAGTGACATTCTATATGCAAAGAAAATCTCTCTGAAAATAAATATTTTATGTACAATATTCAACTATTATATTAATTGTAGTTCAGCTAATTAAAAAGATCACCTAGATAATTTTATTTACTTAATGTTCTAGATTTCCATTCGAAAATAATCGTAAACAGCAATGGATCACAAAAATTAATAGAAAAGACTGGACTCCGACAAAATATACAAAGATTTGTTCTTGCCATTTCAATGCTGACGACTTCACAGTTACAAAAAAAGGCTTTAAAAAATTAAAGAAGGGAACTTTACCTAGTATAAATCTGGATATATCGGTTCGTTTGGATACAGTTTGTATTTTACTAGTTTTAATTATTTTGATAGAATGAGTTAATTTTATATTGTTGTTTTATTCTTAATGTTACAGCTTACAAGAAAATTATCAGAGCCCACAATATCATCACCTAGGCCTACTACAAGTGATTTAAATGAATTTTTGATACTTCATGATTCCCCTAGAAAGAAGAAGCTAAAGCAAGAAATAGAACAACTTCGATGGAAAGCGAAAAAAGATGGGCTAAAGATCAGAAGACTTCAAATGAAAGTTATACGTTTGAAAAAGAAGGTACTTATATAAGGGCACTACTTTCGCCTCGCGAACCACTTTAAGATGTATTCTTTTCTAAATGAAATGCGCTTCAAGTACTTTTCGCTTTTCTTTCAGGTTCAAAATTTAACTGCCTTAATTACAGAATTGGAAACCAAACATCTTATACAGGGAGAGGATTCCGAAATTTTATCTTCAATAAATGTAAAGTTGAAAGACTTGGTTGGGCGTCAGCTATCAAAAATTAAAAAAGTTAATTTGAAAAAGAAATATTCTCCAGCTCTCAGATCATTCGCTTTAACGCTTCATTATTTTTCGCCAAATGCGTACTCATACGTCAGAAAAACTTTCGATACATGCTTACCGCATCCGAGAACCATTTCTAAATGGTATGAAAGTGTCAATGGTGAAGCTGGATTTACAGCTGAAGCTTTTAACATATTAAGGCACAAAACCAACTCATCAGGCAAACGCGCTTTGTGCAGTCTTATGATGGATGACATGGCTATTAAGAAGCATGTTGAATGGGACGGAAATAAATATCATGGTTATGTTGATCTCGGGCTTAATGACGTGCAGAAGGATAACTCGGATCAGGCGTCTCAAGCTTTAGTTCTGTTGCTTGTATGTCAAACAGAACGGTGGAAATTACCTGTGGGTTTTTTTCTTATTCGTTCTATGACCGGAGAACAACGGGCCTCAATAGTTCAACAATGTCTCTACAAATGCCAAGAAAATGGTGTAGACGTTGTTTCACTAACGATAGATGGTTGCGCTGCAAATATTGCTATGCTTAAAAAGTTAGGATGTTCGTTAGAACCTCAGAAAATGAAATCTTTTTTTAAACACCCTAGTGCTAACTACGAAGTAGCAGTATTTCTCGACGCATGCCACATGCTAAAACTAGTGCGCAACGCCTTAGAAAATAAAAAGAGGTTTCTTGATTATCAGGGCAATTATATTGAATGGTCTTATCTCGTCAAGCTTAATAACCTACAAAAATCTGAAGGCCTACATCTCGGAAACAAGTTAAGAGACAAGCATATACATTTTCAGCAACAAAAAATGAAAGTAAAATTAGCCAGTCAGCTTTTTAGTAATAGCGTAGCAGACGCACTCCAGGTATGTGAAAAAAGTAAAGTTGAATTCAAAAATGCGGCAGCAACAATTAATTTTATCCGCCTAGTTAACAATATCTTTGACATTCTCAACTCTAGAAACATGTGTCAGAATGAACATAAAAAACCCTTATTTGAAAAGAATATTATGAAAACAAAAGATTATTTGAAATACGCTAAATATTACTTAATGTTTATAGTAGCTCCTGATGAAGATAAGCCTGTTATCGCTACAACCCGAAAAACTGGCTTTGTAGGTCTTTTAACATGTATCAATAGCACACTTTTCTTGTACGACCGCCTGATTAATAAAGAAAATATACTAAAATATCTTACTTTATACAAATTTTCGCAAGATCATTTAGAACTATTTTTTGGGGTAATAAGGGCACATGGAAGGGCAAATAATAATCCAACCTCACGTCAGTTTAAAGCAGCTTACAAAAAAATTCTGATAAATACAGAACTGAAAGAAGGTTTCAGAGGAAATTGTATTCCTTTAGAGGATATTGCCATTTTGAATGAATCTTCCGTCAAAAAAATTAATATTACTTCAGAACGTTACCGGATTTTGAAAAATGACTTCAGTGAGGAATCATTAGATGGCATGGATATCGAACCTATGCCTGATGATTTGTTGTTAGAATTTGATGCGCAATTAAATACAATGATAGGTCATTATTTGCGCCGTCATATTGTTGCGTATATTTCTGGGTATGTAGTTAATTATTTACATTCCAAAATCAAATGTGAGAGCTGCCTTCGTGAATTATATGCTGATGATTACGATGATGATGACCTTTTTTTGATAAAAACTAAAAATAAAGGTGGTCTTACTTTTCCTTCTAAAGATGTCATAAATATATGCATACGAACCGAATGCAGCATCCGTTGTGTTAAATCACAATCTTTGAACACTCCTAATTTCAGTAAACATAAAATTGTATCGAATACATTAAAGTCTCTTATTGGACAAGATTATTTCAAACAATCGTTCAAACATATGTTTGACCAATCACCGACTAATAATCACGTTATACTTCTCATTAAATCTATAGTTGAAAAATATATAGATATTCGTTTTAAGCATTTTGCAATCATAGAAAACGATAGGGCAACAAATCGACAGCAACTTACCAAAACAGTTATTTTTGCAGGTAATTGAATTTAGAATATAATTTAGTACTGTATGTCGAGTGCGAGCGCTACAAAACAATTCAAATAACTTTACGATAGCATTAATCGAGTATATTATGTTAATAACGGTGAAAAGTGAATAAGTGCGAGTGTCAGTGACAAAATAAGTTTTCGAACGAAATCGCGTTTATTCACCGTGAGCGCGTCTATTTTTTTTGTTCTTAGATTGGCATTAAAAAGTGCATTCGGATGCCTAATTTTGGACTTAAATAATAATAATAATAGTTTATTTTATTTTCTCACCACAATACAGAATTATTGTACATAATATTATAGTATAGCCCCAATAATATACTGTGGGAGACTGGTGCCTAAGCTAGGCTTTACGCCTGTATTTCAGGACGCCAGGTCTCCGCCCTATGGTTGTAATTACAATACTTTTATTATGCACTCGTACATGTACCATATTTATAATTTACATAATATCTCCTTTCATTTACTTAGGATTTTAGATATATTAAATAGTGGTGCTAGTATTAATGTGTGTGTGTGTGTGTATGTGTGTATGTGTGTGTGTGTGTGTGTGTGTGTGTGTGTGTGTGTGTGTGTGTGTGTGTGCGTGTGCGTGCTTTTGTTCGTTAGTTTGTGACTGGGTTAGTAATTAACTTTTATTCGATTAGTAATTAGATAGAATTAGTAAGTAGTTGTTCAGTGTCATAATAATTTAGTTCTTGGAGCCAGATAGTTATTTTCTTTTTGCATATAGTTTTGTTAACGTTAAATATAGGGATAATTTTTTTGACTTTATTGTATAAGAAACCTCCAAGGTGACAAAAGAAACGTTTAGATAATTTGGTGGATAGAGTTATATGACAGAGGTCCACGAGGTTAAAACGCCTTTTATCTCGAGAGAGTAAAGTAAACAGTTGCCAAACAATTAAAATTTTCAACTCTTTATATAGGAGCTCTGTAGGATAGCGATACGGCAATGAAAAAGAGACCTTTAAGTTCTCTCCAATTGAAGCATTTTAGCTTTTGGAGCACCGCCTCAGGAGGTAATACCATATGTTAACAGAGATTGGGCCAAGGCGAAGTAGACGGATTTCTTTAGTTTCTCATCAGCCACATCTCTCAGAGTTTTAAAAATATATATAAGTTTACGCAACCTGCTATTAATGGTATTAATGTATAAATGTGTGAAAAATGTGTAAATATTTATATTTTAATTGATTTGTAAATAAAATTATATTAATTATAATAATTTATCTATTATTTGTTCTCCCTCAGAGATATTAAGTAGTATAACCCACACATAAATAATAGTCCAGCCGTTTCTGCGTGAAAAAATAACATATCATTACATACTTAGTGTGGAATAAGGTCAAGGAGACATAAAGAACACACAAACTTTCGCTTTTATAATATTAGTGAGATAAGTAGGATATTTAGTTCTAAATTAAATATCCTACAAAATATTGAACATAGAATATTTGGTTTCAAAGACACTTCATTTAACTAAGGATAAAATAAATATTTCTTGAAGGTTGACTTTTACAAAATGCTAAACATATTTAAATTGTATTTCAGTGATTCTTTGCATATATAATGTCACTTAAATATAACTTAAACATTTCGTAAAAATCAGCCTAAGTACAATTTCCTTCATTTTAATATTGAATGTTGGGTTACTGGGTAAAATAATTGAATTCTAATTACGACCCTGTCATTTTGTTATTTTTTTGACGATAGATGGCGGCCTGTTCACAAAATTATTATGAAAACTATAAAAATAAAATTTGGCGACTAAAATTTCTTTGTCTGAATGTATTTGCTTCATGAGACAGACGCTCTGATGCTTTGGATGGCATCGCATTTCATTTGTAAGTAATTTTAAACCTAATTTATTAAAATAGTTCTAGAAAAATCTCTTTCCGTCGGCTTTCAAATATAATTAAATATATTTGACACTAGATGGCGAAACTTGGTGTCATGTGAACTAAAAATATATAGGAACGTATTGGTAAAATAATCATACGAAGTTGCTGAAATTGTTTTGCATTCAGACAGAGAAAGTTTAATCGCCATAATGTTATTTTTATAGTTTATAATCATTTTGTGAACATACCGCCATCTGCCGTCTAGCTAGCTAAACTACATTGCAACATCGATATGGAACGATTCGAATAGTTTTACTATTTATCGTTAGATGTAGATGGTGTAAATTGGGCGGGGCTTTGCATCTCCTCACCCCGCAAATTGTCACGCGTTGTTACATAGTGAAACTTAATTAGAACGTCTCCTCTTTATATTTGCTTCATGGGTTCAACACACGTACTCCTGAGATGTCGGTGGTTCTGACTAAGGTTCGAGCCACTTTCCATGGAAGGTCATTGTCTACCCTTTCCACGAGTACACAACGATGAGTTTGCCCAAGACTCCGAGGAAGATTAACCGGCACAATCGTTTCCGATCTCGGCGGAAGAACAATCTTCTTAAGGCTGTACACATTCCCTGGTAACGCCCCTTCCACGAAAAGTTCCTCTTGTCCACATTTCAAAACACCTTGTTTAACGTCGATTTCACAACAATTCTTCCTCATAAAGTCTAGGCCCAGGATGCAGTCGTCCATTATATCAGCCACGATGACATTATGTAGGTAGATCATGTTGCCTAGCTTCAACTCCATCTCCTTCTCTCCACGAACGGGTATGCGCTGACCGGTGGCTGTCACCAAATTAATGCGTTCGCGGTTGTATGCGGAGTCCCCAAGGAACTGACTTATAAGTTGTGAACTGACAACCGTGCGAGAGGCTCCAGTGTCTATGGTCAGTTTACACGGTGTTCCGTTGACCTCGCCCTTGATGATCAGGCTGTTCCCATCACGGGTTTGTGAGATCGAAATTCTTGGGGCTCTTTTAACATCAGCCAGCACCCGCCAGTTTCCCTGCTGCTGCTGGGCGGTGCCTTCAGCCACACTACCCTCTCGAGATCGA